CATGAACTGCCATGCTATTTTCATTGTGCGTGACTTCAGCTGTTTTGGAAGTGAGTATTGCTGACGTCACAGTATGGTAACAGTACAGTTTTGGAAGTGCTCACAAGACAAACTGAGCACATGCAGTATGACAGGTGGATGTGTACAACAGTGACACATGATGAAGAATACAGAAACATAATAACTAGGCCTCAATTCTGCAGGATGTAAATATTCTGCTGAAGGTAAAGAAGTGTAGATCTGGCTGGTCAGACATGGAAGCCCTGTTGGCACAACTCTGGCATGTTTACCGACTGTATTCGCAATATACGAATAGTTACACATGATAACCCAACAAAACTCATTTAAAGCATTTGCTTTAAGGCTACGTTCAGAGAAAATAGATATGCCTCTGTTAATATTGAGGTAAACATATAATAAAGCATATGTCAGGAATGAATACAAGAAGAAAAAAAAAAATCAAACGTTTTTTTTTTATTCATCAGCACTGTAGTTTTTCCTCCCTTTGATGATCCCCAACACCCTCCGGAATATCATGCTAATTAGGTGGGAAATAAGCACTGATGAAAGTTCTGTTTTGATCATGACCTTTCAAACTTATTTTCTCTGATCCTCCGTTTCCACCCATATTCTTTTATCTTTTTTTCTTCTCAGTGAGGTTTACTGAGAAAAAAAAACTAAGTTCAGTACAAAGAATTTAAATAATTCAAGGTTATGCCATTTTGCTGGACTCCAAAACCATTAAAACACAGTTCAAAGGCCATTGCACACCTCCGTACATGCAATATCGCATAATGGTGTGTGCCTTCTGAAAATCTTAGAGACATCTCACAAATTAAAATGTATCGTTGATACCTTTCTGCTGCCATGTAGCCATCACATAGTCAAGACTTTGTTGAAGCAAACAAAGACACTGCATGTGAAAGAATTTAGCCCAAATCTATAAAAAATATAATTTGAACCATTTTTACTGATTTTGATAGGAATGTTTTGGGTGATTACTGGTATTTATACAACTTAGCTGTAGTTACTGAGAAGAAAAATGGCTCAACAATTAAGATTTGCATCCGCTTTTGTAAGTGTCACATAAAGCAATCGGGTGGTAAAAGCTTCATTGGACTGCAAAGGCATAAAAAGCCCATTACCGGACCATTAAGTATTTTCTGTAGTACAATGGCAAGTGTTACAACTGTAGACACATGTAAATAGATATGACATAAGGAATCACAATATTGTATCTGGCAATTCAACACAACTGATATTGTCTCGTCCAATTTAGCATTGTAAATAATAAAATACAAACTAAATGGCAAAAATAAGCTTGAGAAAACAGCTTCTCACTTTATTTTTACAGTGGGGATCATCTTTAAAAGTTATTTCATTCTTCAATCAAGCTTTTAAGTGTTAAAAGGTTCTCCCATGGTGTCAACAGCAATATGCAGATTATCGTCAAATCCCAACAAAAAATGGGCAACATGATTTACATATTGAGCTGAACCATAATCAGATCTCTTAAAACACAAAGTACTGTATTGTTGACTTTATTTTTGTTTTGATCTTGGGCTTGATACAGTTATTGTTGTTTCATTACTTAATCTGGAAAGACATTTATAGTCTATAAAGGGAACTTTAGATTTTAATTCAAATGGAGTTGTAAGTAAAGCATTCATATGAACTCTGTACTATGCAGATAAGTAATACATGTGGCATTTCACAGATATAATAGGTCTAATATCTAAGTATGTGAGAGAAAATAGCACTGTATTATAATTGAAACTGAACAGTGCTTCCAACAATATTTATTTCAGATGCATTCCATATATTCTACAATAAATATGAAAATGACTGTGCAAAAAGGTACAGGGTAAATGTTTGAGTACAATTGTCTTATCTAAGCCAATAAACAAGATAAACACTCTAAGCACAGCACTGTGTGGAATCACAGCAGTCAACACACTACATAAAGGCTATGCTAATTTTATCTGCATAGCAATACAAGAGAGGAGCTATGCCTGAGGCTGTAGAAATTTCATTAGACAACTGAAAATATCACCACTGTGCTGAGCGATAAAGCAGACAAGGAGCCAAAAAGAAAGAAGGGACACAGGTGCTGTTCCTTCTGCACTCCTAGGAACAAACTGAAAGTGGGAGAAGTTGTTTGAGTTCCCAGTTAAGTAAGCATGTTGACTTTGCAGCAGAGACAACCCACTTACTGAACATCTCTGGGGTGTCTCAGTTTGGCTCTTTGGCCCTAGCAACATTTCTTTTTTTTATTTGGTGGGCTAAATGTCCTATGACCAAGGTTTTGTGATTAGAAAAAGTGGTATGCTTTATTGACTTCACCAACGGTTCCATTCCTCTGAATAGTTTTCCAAAAAAAAAGGGAATATGGACAGAGATGTATTTGCATAGACCACAAACATCAAGCAGTGTAAAGGGCATCATGACCTCAAAACTGGTAATGTAGTATTCATTTTGCTGATTTATTAGTAATATTTCACAGTTTCATTACATTGTATTAGATGAATTAGGCAGAGGTGGCAAATTAACATATCAGAAGGCTGCAGCAGCTTTCAAACGTGTTTCCTTTAATTTTACAGCTGAATAGGAATTTATCACCTCTTATACAATATAAGCATACTGTAAATGTGGTCAAAAGAGTTCAGGGATTTTATTGACATGGCCCCCTCTGGTGTTAAAATTCAGTATTGCTCTTCCTCTTGAAAAGATTAGGAAGTTAACATGATGCACATCTGACGTTTCAGTTTAACTGAAGGGATAACCTGAAACTAATCGTTATGCTTTTTTCACCATTAAGGCTGCTTGGAAAATTTAAGATGTTGTAAATGATCACCTTTCCAACAGGGGTTACCCTTTTTGAGCAAACATCAAATCCAACTTCAGAACATGTGAAGAACATGACACTATCTAGCAGCAGTGTTCTGTCACAAAGGATTACGTCTGCTAGCAATGTGAATACATTGATTCTTTTGATCTTATGTATTAATCTTAAATTTTAATTCACAAAATAAAAAATTAATAATCTTCAAGGTTTCAAAGAGAATAGCAATTAGTATTTTGTACAGAATGCATATTACACATGTTAAGTAGGCTCTCTTTGTACAAGAGAAGTTTGAGAGCTGTTTATTAAATTAAAAATGACCTTCAGCTGGTGAAAGTCAAAGCCCTTAATGTACATTATGTTCCATCGATGGGTAACGCTGTGAGCAACAAAGGAATTATTGTAATGGTCCAACAAAAGCAAAAACATCAAATTAAATAATTGAATAAAGCTCCTTCATTTGACTTTTGTTGTTTTGTTATTTCTTTCTCCTCTTGGTATTTCAGTCCCTTAAGATCAAAACCTTATGAAAAGTACACAGTTTCAGGATTTTGTACTGTAGCTGCATTTTAAAGAGGCTCTCAAGAGAAAAATGTGGATATTATTAACAATTAGCTTCTTTCATCAGGAAAGAAAAGGCAAAATGTCCCTTAGTTATGGTGAACTAACTGCGCTCATTAAAAGTAAATTATCTGTGGCGCTTAAGTGAATCACCAAGAAACTACCAGTGTGGGCTAGCACAATGATTATGGTAGGCAAAAGTAAGTTCAAAGAAATGAATCAGGATTACTGAAAAAAGCATAAGCATTCAATTGTTTTAGAAAAATACCAAATAATTCCTGAAAAATGTATACAGAAAAGTACTGTATAAAAATGTTATTCCTGAAAAACACTGAAATTAAATACCCTGAAAAGCACAACTTAGTTATTAGATGTAATTTGAGCAAGAATCAAAATGAATGGCACAGCACTGCATCTATTAATAAAACAGTGTCTTACAGTTTAATTACATGTTCAAGTTTAAGTACATGTTTAATTTACCAAATTATGATCATTCTTAGTTAGGAGATCTACTTCTGAAATATGGCAGTGTTAACAAGGAAACTGTCTTTTAAAGAGTGATAAAGCCTGTGCAATTAATGGTTAATCAACACCAGGGCATCAAGGTACATGGGGTAACATAATTATTAGAAACTAATGCTAAAAGAACTCTCTAGTTCAGTGTGCTAACATGAGAGTTAGGACAGCAGGAGTCCTTAAAACCACAGACGCCATTTTCATTTATTATTCCTTAATGTAGGTCTCTTAAAAACATAAATCTCATCTCCCTGTTTTTTATATGCATATTTGACATATTTATTCAGGCTTACTAATCAAATATATTAGTGCAAAATGCTTATTGCAGACAAAGAAAGAGATATGAAGGGCAATACATCCTGAATTTTTCAAAAACCCATTAATTCAGACTTAGTAATAAAAATAGACTGTTTAAAAACCACAGTGCTTCGTCCAGGAGTGCTTTCAGCTCATTCACTCTGTAGCTCCACAATCCTACCAATATTTCCAGACTTACCAAAAAGAAAGCTAAATATAATTTACTATCTTAACAATTCACATAATATTAATAAATGCATGATTAAAACACACTTAGAAGCTCAAATAATTAACCTTCATACATTTAGTTTATGCTGTAAATCCCCTAAACTTTACCATGCAATGAAAGCTTCATATACATTCATATACAATATACTGTATACTGAACAAATAAGAAAAATATAAAGCATATATGAGATTACAAGTGGAAAATAGGAGAAAATTACACAAATTAGTCTATTTTAAAATACTAAAATAATTTGTATTTCACAACATTGTCAATGGATTAAATTGATTTTTGTATGTGGATTAAATGTTTTTGGTATCATTTTAGTATTATTTAACTGATCATTCATGACTGATCATGATGTAATCCAGTGAATGCTGGATAAGCACTAAATTACCTCACTTGTGAGAGAGTTGATTGGATACAGGTGATGAGGTGATTAAACCTGTTGAATATCAACCCTGGTGACGAGAGAAACACTGAAAGGAATCAATATGCCCCATATATCAAGAAAACAATGCTTTTGTGCCGTCAGTATGTTGGAAGCCAGACAATGTCAGCACACTATCGTTCACTGTCTGGAGTGTTCACAGCCAGTAATTTCTAAGCTGGCAAAATGTTCCAGACAATCAAAGTTCACCAACGATAGACCTCACAACAAGACAATGAATCACAACACCTCACCAAGAGTGGCGTAACTAAAATGCACCATCTTAGTTATTGTTTTCACAGCATCAGAAACATCAGCCTGTGTTTCAGCAATTTAGCGGTAAGGAGGCGGCTAAACATCATCTGCATGTTACACAGCTACTCAGGGCCCTCAGGCCTCCAACAGAATGACGTGGTTGAGCAGCGCATCAGGTGGACTTACCAGCAGTGGAGAGAAGGTAAGAGCTAAGAATTTGTTCACTACAAACCTGCCTAAGTATAAACGGAGATGAAGATCAATCACTTCATAACCTACTGTATGCCTCCCCTCCTCCCAACTGATGACCTTTGCAGCAGCTTCCTGCCTTATTCTCCTTGATATGGGAGTTCACCTGGCAAAGGCTATCAACACCAGAAGAGTACCTCCCCCAATATTCCCCTCAACTGGTGGTGCTAGAAATTCCTAAAATACACACAAACAGTGTTTACTGCAAAATGTACTGTATAAAAATAAAGATTTAATAATAGAACACTCAACGAAGAAATATTACAAAAGCTAGAAATCAAACACAGCCTGAAACTTGCTGGACACTAAGAAGAGTGGGAAACTTGAAACATTTCAACTTTTTCTTATTGACAAATGTATAACCACATAAATCAACCTCACCAATTTGGCCACAGGAATTAAATTGGGACCACACTGCACTACCCTAATTGTGTTGTAAAGTAGGCACAGGTTAATGATTTCAAATGACAAAAGAGAATGAAAACAGTGGCCAAGATAAAACAAATGGCATGTTGAGATGCTACAGTACCATGCCCTTGAAGACATAATATGGATGTAAGTCGATGCATGGCTTTCATAATACTTATTCTTAAGTACCTCACATAAACCCCAATCGCAGCCTATACAGAATATATGCATATTAAACTAGGTAGATGATAAGTTTGTTAATTGTTTGTTATAGTGAAAACATTAAAACATTTACAAAGTCACCAAACTTTAGAATACCATCTTGAGATAATTGCTGTTTATATTTTATTTGCTATGTACAGTTTACTATTGTGATTGCTAGTATAAGAAACCAAAGAAGAGTGCAATCTAAGTGGTATTGAAATCACAGACAAGAATATTATCACTTCTTAGTTATTGCTTGACAAATCAAAAGCTGAAAGCAATTAATTTTACTTATCTGCAATAATATGCTATGTGGCATGGAGAGTACAAAATCAAACATTTAAACAAAATGTGACGCTAACCAGCACAATCCATAGGAGTTTATGTGTTTCTTTGAGCATTAGAGGATCCAATTTATAAACCTTTTTACCTTAAACATGCCCATATGTATCCTGCTATCTTCCTTCAGCAAACTATTTTCAAGGTATTTTAGAAGACTGTTTTGAATATTGTCTTTCCTCTCTTTAAGAACAGCAATATCCTTCCAGTAATTAGTTTGGTATTCTTCCAAATTCGGCTCTCCAAATGTCACCCTCCTTTTATGGTTTAATGCATCTTCAATGGTTTGATGCTGACAGGGATTTTAACTCTCAAGGAATAATGGCTAAAATATTCATATTAAATCATCGGGAAGATAGGGTGATGTAAGGACTTTTATTCTCATGTTAAAATGAGTAGGGGTGATGGAGTTCCACTTATATAATACAACCACTCACTAAATGAAGTGTCCACATGCACCATACCATAGTATCTGGTATCCTGACTACCAAACTGGATTAGAAAAAATATATTGCAAATCGGGTTTGTTCTTTATTGTTTTGACAAAAATTAATTTGTGGCAGCCGAGATCAATCACTTGGCATATACCTTTATTACTGAATTTTCAAAACGTTCTAACCATTACATTTTTGAAGACTGTTGCAAAACTATATAAAGATGCTAGATAAAACGTTGGGAGTCAACAGCAAAAAAAATATATACAATAGTGAAAAAGAAATTGGTCTGATGCCAGCCTCACTTGCCATATTTTCAAATGTTTTTACGATAAAACGCAGGATCTTTATGATTATCTGTACAAATAATCTTAACATCATCTAGCATGCTCACAACTCTAGTTTGCCCGATATTCTGTTATTTTTTAGCTTTGTTGCATTGTTAGATACAAGGGAAAACACACTAACTCTATCCTCAGTTATTCTGCATCAGCAACAGAGAAAGTAAGAAACATTATAAGCAAGAACCTTATCAGTTCTCAACAGGGTGGGTGCAACAGCTGGAGCTGCTTTGCATTTTATGCTTGTGCTTGTGGTACAAAGTAACAGCAGCATACATCTAACATTAGTTCAAGATTTCAGCAGTATATTATTTACTGTGATTAAAACAGGATGGCATACCAGGAAAAACAAAACATTAAAATTATCTTTCATGATATACTAAAAAGAGTGAACCCTAACCAAAGAGACAAAAATGTGTAAAGACAAAAGCTGGCTGGCAGTGAAACAGACCCATTAATTCTATGCGCAACAGTCAGGTGAACACAGAGTTTCGCCACACAGATAAGGGTACGTTATTGAAATCAATGAAAACGTAGGAAAGCCAGTAATCCAAGTGGAATATTAATCGCACAAGGTGCTGAATAACAGTCCCTCACTAACCAGGGATTTATAAATACAAGGCCTATTTAAAAGGGACAAAAGAAGAGGTTTTGTGATAACTATTGTGTGATTAGTATACAGCATGTTCTAAATCAGGGGAGGCTGTTCTCGGCACTCTAGATATTATGAAGGGTATTCAATAAATGTTTGTAACGAGGGAGTGGGGAAACTCTTGAGTGCAAACTCCAAATTTAGTTTTTCGCTCAATTTGAAAAACCCTTTTCTTAAATAAAAACAAGGTATTGTGCTAGAATTGAGTTTGGGATTTAGAATTGTTCAGAAATATTTAACCAGTAAACAAGAATTTGTTTACTGGTTAAATATTTTGCAATGGATATTAATTTTATCTCAATAAAAGTAATTTTAGCACTGACAGCAAAGATTATAAATAAGGGGAGGCCATTCCCATCCCATAATACTTCCTTGGTTGCTAGTTGCGGAGCAATACAAGGACTCCTTCAAGTCACTGTTTTAAAGGATCCCACAGAGTAAGAATTAACAACATGACAAGGGGGATATTTCCCTCTGTGTACAGATGTCTCTCCTGTTTTCTGTCCTCAGTGCTCCATTAACTTAATGTCTATTAATGAATTTAATTAAACTACTTCAAAGCTAAAAGGATTTCGTTCTCTATCTGAATAGAGAGCAGGAAATTAGTTTGGCTGCTCTCTTTTGCACTGCCTCTAGACCTGCAAGGTCTTTATTAAAAGTGCAGTCTGTGCAAAGCTGTGTAGCCCAACACACCCACTGAGGTCTAACTCCTGCACTCTTACATTGCACAATTTTTAGGTTTCAATACAATTCCACATGAAAAACAAAATACTCAGACATGAGGCTGTAGGATTCCACGCCCATGTGTGAAGGTGGATAATGTATTAGTTGAAACAGAAAAGAGAGAGGAAGAAGGCAGCACATATTTTGGGTAAATGCTTCGGTGAGGAGAAGATAGTGTAAACGTGAGGTAACTACTGTAGCCAAGTCATTAGTGAGGTACTACTGGGTTGCTTTTAGGACTTCTGTTTTTCTTACCTTACACTGCATATACTGTACTCATACTTGATGCATTTGCAGATGATACAAATATGCTATTGTATCTGCTTACTGAAAAGATCCAACAGGTCAGAGTGATGGCTGTCACTTCAAATTTTAAGTGGCTGTATAAACATGTACATTTGTTACTTCAGCTACACCTGAATCATTAAATTGGATTTTTCCTCAACTGGCCCACAGGTCTGTACAAATCACTTGGCATTTCTACTATCTTCGGAACTTTTTCCCATCAAATCAACATTTCCAGAGCAAGTGAATATGATTCAAGACATCTTTGTTAGGATTGTAAATTCCTCAGAACACAACGAACTGTTTATGACTCCATGAACAGTTAGAAAACATTCAAAAAGGATTTTTACATGCATCTGGTAAAAAAAATAACAAATGTGGTTTAAGACATCAAAAAGCATGTCATCCTTTCACTACTGAACCCTAGTAGCTTTTCTTGACGTTGACTGTTGTACAGTATGCAGCCAAAAGTCTCCAAAAAAAAGTTGAAGATAAGAGCAAATTGCCACTTGCCAGTTCACTTGGGACCCAAAATCCAGCACTGAGAGTAAAAAATGTCTAAGTAGTGTGGGAGTGCTAACCCTTACCCTAGCAGGAGTTTCAACAGAGCAATACTGCAATATGTCTCTGAAGCCCTCCAGTCATCAGATTTGAAAATGTTCCTAAAACCAAAAACATAGGAGTCTAAAACAATCAAAATAATTGAAAAAAAGCTCTTGGAATCTCATCTGCTTCAGTAATGTATCTACTTCATAAAAATGTTCAATCAGCTGAAAAATACTTAAAAAATGAGATTTGCAGTAAATTAGTCTTACCAAAGTTGTTTCATAAATGTTTTGAGGTTAAGCAGTTTAAATGCTGGAATAAAGTCTAAACCCCATGTCTGCACTGACGTGGAAGCTGCACCTCGGACATTCATACATTAAATAAGTCTGTTACTTATATGATGAATTCTAGATTAAAAAAAAATATTTTAACATTTGGCTGGAATCTCCTCAGGGTTAAACCAGGCAGAACAGACAAGGCAGTACACTAGGACCTAGGACAATAGGCCAGAAGGGTCACTGTACATTGAGAGCTATATCAATCCGAAGAAAAGTGATTCAGCTCACAGCTTTTTCAGGCACAGAAGCCTTATTTTGATATTTTAAGTCCCCAGAAAGTGTAGCAACTGAAGTACAATATTCTTATATATTCTTATGTCATTTTCTAAAGAAGATTGCATTAAATATCCATGAAACAAAAACATTTTGATGGCCACATTTAAACAAAACAGTTCTAGAAAGCATAATTCACAATCGCGTTGCCAGTGTACGAGCTACAGGGGCTGCTGACTTAGACATATTGATAATTTTGATTACTTAAACCTCACTGGTTTAATAATAATCACTCATTAGCGAAAAGGAATTAACTTTAAACAACCATTGAGTTATTAACATTGCTAGACTCAATTTTGGCTCATTATTATAAATTAGGTTTTCCCAAGGATTCCATTTGAATGCTAAATTAAGTACCTTTTGTCTCCACCTGATTGGGCACATTTTAATTTTATTACCAATTGCAAAGA